GTTCAGTGGACCCAACTGCCGAGCGCTGGCCCTGGCATACGCCCTGTGCGCCATGTGGTATCCCTCGCCGTACTATGACCCTTTCACCTGCGGTGCAGAACACTACGTCATGGATATGACCGTCGAAGAGGTCCAGCAGCATGGCCGTGCGCCTCCGCCCGTGGACAAGTCCTGCCCGCCTGCAGCGTACGATTTTGGCAGGCTGGCCGGCTGTGCAGGTGGCGGACTCCCGCCGCCTCCCCGGCATGCTGCTTGCCGCACGCACCATGCGGCCGTCATTCGCAGCACGCTTACTCATACACATAACGACACCTGCAAGCGACACGGCTGCCGTGGCACAGATGATAGCTGTGGCATGGCATTCCCTCGTGTCCTGCGCAGCGCCTTCCAGTGGATTGGCACCGGCGGCCTCTTCCTTCTGCCGCGATTGGGCCCGAACATTGTACCGCACATGCCAGCTGCAGCGCTGGCATTTGGGTGCAACCAGCTGTTTAGTCTGGCGTGCGAGGTGGATCGCGTCTACATGGCAGAGGCAGCAGCGCAACTGGCCCGCCCTGAAGATGAACGGGGGGACTGTGTGCTGCTGCAGCCTGCTGCTGACCGCGCCCGCGACGCTGCCTACTACAGCACAAAGTACACTGGCAAGAGCATCAACGACAGCCAGGCACAGCTGACATGCAACGCTCTTACCCGAGTGCAGGATTTCCTGCTAGCTGGAAGGACACCGAATCCGGGTGCCAGTGGGCCCACCGCGTTTGGCAACATGTGTGCCACTGTGCATCGCATGACCGCTTCCGTTACGGCTGGTATGGCGCTTGTCGCCATGAAGCTGGACGGTCATTCCACCTTCGAGGCGACGTTCGATTGCGCATACCTGCAGGTAGACGCGTTCACAGCGCTATCTGCGGGCGCCGAGCAATCTCCTGAGGTGGCGACCACAGCGGCATTACTGGTGGAGGCTGAGGAGCAGGAGGGCTACACGGTGACCAACGCCGTGCATAACTACGTGCTGCGGGGGGAAGAACTCAGCGGCCTGGACTGCAGTGTGTACAACATAGCCTCCAACTACGAGGTCCGACGTGTGCCGCCAGCTCAGCACCCGCACCGAGAGCGATTGGGTCTACAGATCCCGGTGGCAGCTCGACGCCGCAAGCGCACTACCCCAGCCACACCCATAACCGCCCCTGTGCCTGCCCCTGTGCCTCTGCTGACTGCAGCCCCGGCCCCTCCTCCTGAGCCACCTGCTCCTACAGCTGCAGCGACACTCGACCAGCCAACTTCTCAGACAGCCACGGAGCTGCCCCGCCTGGTGGCCTTCCACAGCACGCATCCGCTGTACAAAACACATGTCCACATCCGCCTGCCTCGGCCACGATATGACAGCTGGAGGCTCTCTCCCCGCCG